GTATGGGGGGGGCCGCTCTTAAAGGGCCAGGCGCCCCCACTGCCCCGCTGCGCTTTTCCAACAAAAAAAATGGCAAATCCGACGCCCGGCTGCAGCCCCCAACTCTGCTCGGTCGCACCCCAATATTTTAGATCCCCCCGTTGCTCAGGGCACGGCCCCCAGCCCAGCACCACGGGGCACGGGGAGGGCAGGGGCCACGGCCGCCCTCCGGGACCCCTGGTGCCAACCCAGCACCCGAGGGGCCCGGAGCAGGTGCCCTAGGGAAGCGCAGCCTGCCCAGACCCTGCCCCTTTCCCAACCAAGCGGATCCCCCATCCAAAATCCACGGGATCTGGTCCCCACCGCCTGCGCCAGGCCGGCACGACTTGTGACGCGCTTCTACCGCGGCTCCCAGCGCCATCGGAAAACGGGCGCAACGCGGGGGTCCGAGCAGCAGCGACCACCCCTCCGTGGCTGCGGGCAGAGGGACCCCTGCCCTGTGCTGCCACGGAGGTGACGGAGCCATCGCCTTTCACCTACCCACAAATAAACCATTCGAGCGTACTTCCATTTTTTTCCTTTTAATGCAAAAAAAATAGCCAAACACATCTTCCTTCCCCCTCCCCAGGTGTGTTTCCTTTTTGCTTAATATTTCCAGCCAGGCAGCTCCCCCCCTCCCAGCCCTCGCCCGGCACTTCCCTCCTTCCCTCTTCCCACCGCAGCGGAGCCCAAAGGGACCCCGGCCACCAAAAAAAGAAAAGAACCAAACCCAAAAGAGGGAAATAGGGAAAACCAGCCGGGCACACGGTATTTCAGCAACGTGCCGGTTCTAATCCTGCCAAGAGATTATAGGAAGAAAGAAGAAAAATACAAAAATAAAACCACCAAACAAGTAGCGACAAGCACGGAGCAGCCCCAGCACACAGTGTAAACAGAAGCTGCCCCGATCCGGAGTCCAGCTCTCCCGGAAAGCAAAAGCACAACATGCTTTGTACACCCCGAAAGGTCCCTGCGGCGCTGAGCAGCGAAGGGGGAGGTTGTGGTTTTAAGCTTGAGTTGATAGTTTTTGCCTTTATGCAAAAGGTTGAAGCGATCTCAGAGTCTCCAAGTGGCGTTTGCAGCACCGAGCCTGGCCAGGCGGGGAAAGGGATGGGGGAAAAGTGCCACGGGAAGAGGTGGGATTGGGATACAGGGACCCCCCAGACCGGCGAGAGTAGGTCCAGGGCTTTGCAGCTGGGAAATCTGGCCAAGGGAAGGGAGAGCAAACAAATACAAAAAAATATAGATATAAAAACGATTTGTGCAGAGGGGGAGGAGAATATGGACAGTAGAGGCAGAGTTACTGTCGTCTTCCCCAAAGCAAGAATAATAATAAAAAAATCCCAGTTGAGGTGACAGTGAAGAGTCCGACAGAATTCCCTTCCCTGGGGGAAAATAAAAATACAAATGAGGTACCTTTTCCACCCCAAAGCCGTCATCCCTTCCCACAGTCACATCAACGCTCCAGCCACTGGTTATTGTCTCTCTGAAATAAAATAATCGGGGCCAGGGCAGGCCCGGAGCAGAAGCACCATGCGCGCGGCTGGGCCACGGCGCGCTCTCGGCGCCGGGAGCCCTCGTCCAGTTCCTCCCGGTTGGGTTGTTCAGCAGAGATCCAGTCTCTCCTTGACCCTGCAAACAGGCGGTATTGTTCAGTGCTCCACAGAGACGGAGCCTTTTCCAGGTCTCACGTGTTTCTCCAGCTTTTTTGTTTTAAAAAAAAAATTATATATATATATATAAAATATACAGTACAATGAAAATATCCATGAAAACAAATGGGGTGGCTGGCAAAGATGCTTAACAAAAAAGCCCAAAATAAAACAAATTCCCAACTCTTCCCCAAACTGACGCTTGCCTTCCCCACTAGTCCTCCAAGACCACAATCTCCACGTTATGGACCTGGTGCTGATGGTCCTCCACGTCTCCCACCACTTTCTCCTCAGTCCTCAGCTCCGTCTCCAGGATCACAGCTTTGCCCTCCGACTCGTCCGTGTCCGCTTCGGGATCCGGCGCCGGGTCGATCTCTATGATGGTCTGCCCGTCATCCGAGGTGCCTTCCACGGCTTGAATGGTGGAAGTGAGGCCGGATTCCATGGCCACCAGTTCCACGGGGTTGACCACGGCCGCCACATTCGCCAGGGCACCGCTGTCCTGCATGGCTGCCGAGCTCAGCAGCGCCAGGCTGGAGGACGGGTGGAGGGTGACCGTGTCGGAGGAGCTGGTCTTGGAGGAGGACACCACGGTGGCGTATCGGAAGAGCTGGGAGCCAGATGGCAAGGTATGAACAGTCACCGGGCTGGAGCCTTGGCTAATGGTTGCCACCGGGATGTTGCCCACGGAGAACTGTTGTCCGACGGGTGCGATAGCGATGGGGGAGATGACGGTGAACTGAGGCTGCTGGATGGGGGTGGAGGGGCTGAGGACGGTGGCGGAGGCTGGGCGCTGCAGGCGAGGTCTCTTGGGGGGCTTGGGAGCGCTGACGGGCATCAGCACCACGTTCTGGATGGTCTGGGACTTCGCCTTCTGGTCCTTGGCAAGTTTCTTCTGCTCTTCCAGCTGCCGCTCCAGGTCTGCAAAGAGAACGGCTAAGCAGCGCGCTGGGCTAGGGCCGGCACGCCGCGGGAGCTCCTGGGGACTCGCAGGCTCCGCAAACAGCCATTACACCCCACGTTTGCGACAGGAGGTCTCCTAGCCACCCAGTCGAGTGCGACCTTAGCATTTCACTCAAGACCAAACTGCACTGAAGGAAAAGGCCAGATTCTCCTGCCACCCACACAGCCCTGGTCAATGTTGTGCACCCGCTCAGCCCACTTTGGCCAGCTGTCAGCACCTGGATAAGGAACAGGCAATGCTCTGCACCAGCTGGCTACTCCTACTGATGAGAAGATGGGCATTTCTGCTCCCCAAGCTAGACCCACCTACACGGGAGAGTGGACAAACCCCCCTGGGCAGCAGGAACGGCTTCCTGGGCTTGGCTGGGTCCCCTCCCCAGGAGCCGAGCACCTGTACTGGGGAGAGGGAGCTGGACTGCCTGGGTCAATGCAACATCTCCCTCGACCCTTGTCTGCGTGAACGCTGGAAGTCAGAAGCAGCACAGTAATCTCATTTATCCAGGGCAGTAGGGGACTAGGACATCCCAGATAAGAACAGGTTCTGCAGGACACGGTGAGGAGGGAGACACATCCAGCAAGCGGCTCTGGGGAATCCAGGTCAGATTATTGGCTTCAGCTCAGGGGAAGCCGTCCAAGACACCCGATAGCTCCACGCCAAGACAAGCAGACAACTCCACTCCCCATACATGGAGAAGCTTATTAGCTCGAGCACAGCACGGCACTGCCTGCAGCTCAGGTGACTGCTGCACAGCCCTGAGCTAGCAGCACCTAGTTCCTAACGCGATGGAATGGGACTCGCACTCCCAGCACCCTGGCTGCAGCAAAGGGCACAGACTTTGGGCTGTTGAATGCCCCAAGCAACTGCTCACTGCGAGGTAAAGGAGAGGGGAAATTCCACTCAAGCCCTAAGATGGAAAGGGACTGGGATGCATTTGTTTTGGGGCAGCGTGTATGGAACAATAACCCAAATCCAGTTCATATGTCGAAGAAAAGTCACATCAGTTCCGAAGAGCAGCAACAGGGTGAGAAGCCTTACTAGGCACCAACTGTACCTGCCAGCGTGTAAAGAAATTGTTCCTCTCCTTGCTCCGTCTGGTTTTTCCTGTTGTCCAGAACCTTCTTGACTGTGTCCATTAGGCCAAACGTGTGGGCGACGTTGTTCAAGACGGCAGCATCTGCAAGGAAAGTGCATGGGGACGAGTGCCTAGTCCCACAGGTGGGACTCAGTCAGGTACTCAAAAGATGCTCATATCACACCAAAAATTTTCTGCTGCTTTTTGTAAAGCTCTGTTCTTTCACAAGGGCTGGCTGACAAGGGCAGACCCAGCTCCCTCAACCTTCCGACATCCAAGGACTAAATAATCCCATTCACATGATAAAGAAAATGAAACAGAGATGTGTCACCCAAGCAGCTCAAAATTGCTGCAAATGAAAGCATAATTTGCAATCACAGAGATACAAACGAGCTCGCCACCTACAAATCATCACCCCGTGCTGCTGACAGTGTCATTAACATGCCAGCTCCACTGAAAGCTGTGCAAAATTTCTATTATAATCCACTGACTTCAACCACTTACAGCTTCCAAAAGCTGCCACCTACCAGACACAAAGATCCGCCAGTCCAAAGCTAAATTTGAAAATAAAAAAAAATATCCTGAGTAAAACGAAGTTTGTGGCTACATGGATGTTCTCTCAGTAAGAGCATCAACAAGAGGTGCCCTCAAACCCTGTGCTCACAGGGGCATGTGCTGAACTGGATTAGGGAACTGATCCAAGTTAAAAATAACCCTAAAGAGGGGAGGGGAGTTATTTTTAACCCAGATCAGTTCCCTCTTCTGGTTCGGCCCCCAAAACAGGTTTTCTGGCGCAAGTGAAGACAGAACAAGAAGTGAGGGGGCAGGACCTGTTTAAGCCTGCACTGTCACGAAGTGTTTGAATAATTCTGGTCTGAGAAGGGAGTCTGGGCAGGCTTTCGCGAGGGCCAGGCGCTGAGGACAGGCGCCCGATGGCCTCAGCAAGCTGCCAGGGTCACTTTGCTCAGGGGACAGGGTGGCACCTCGTGTCCTTGTGCCCCGCGGTGGTGTAAGCGAATGCACTTCACGGTTGGGCAGGCTGAGACCACACCCAGACTCAGCGCCCACAGCTCAGCTAATGAGTGGTAACTCGCTCACCACCCTGACTCAACAGCTTTCAATGGTGGGGATGGACCCTTGTCACATTTTTTTGCCTGCAGCTGCCTTTTTGAGCATCCTTCCCCACCGCAGAGCCAGAGGCTGTGGCTCACAACCTACCTGTCATCTGGAAGGGAGACTGACCCAACCTCTGCTGGACGCCTCTTAGGACTTCTTCTATCTCCTTCTGGATGTTGCACACAACCTCCTCCATCAGCCCCACGTCAGCTATTCCTTTCCAGAACATCAGCGTGTCCTCTGGCACAAGGAGAGGGAAAAAGAAGTCAACATGTACAAGCATTTGGCATTTTTCCCACAAGGCTACCTTAAACCTTCCAGGCAAGAGTAACTTTGCAAGATGACTTCTAATTTGGCCGTTGGGGTGGATATGACATACAAAAAAAAAAAGAAAAAAAAAAAAAAAAGAAGCAAAACAGACCCAGGCAGCAAATCAGTAACATGTTGTCAAGCAGCACCATGACTTCCAAGGCGACATTTCACATCTTCGCAAGATGCAGAGCTTAAAATCTTTGCGGAAATTCTGCCTAAGCTTCCGTACTGATCCTAAGAGGGAATGCAAGGCGCCACAGCCAGAGAGACACAGCCAAGAGAGCTGACAGGGTACTAACACGGGGTACTAACAAGACACTGCTCCCTGATGGTTTCAGTCTAGCTCTAGGCTGGCAGACGTTTACATCCTTAGAATGAATAAAAAAAAGCCCCTAGTAACTAGTAGCAACTGATTGGGGGGATCATCCATCAGCCACAAGGCCAGGGCTGAAGTCTCTCTCTGCCTGCTGTAGTGAGGAGCTCTCTTTGGCAGGGACCCTGCACGCCTGGGAAATGCTGGGATAGCCAAGGGGCTGGGGGGCAGCTCTGTCAGCGCCTAAACTCTCCTTATTTTCAGGATTTCAGTCTCCAGAATGTAACAGGCGAGGAGAGGTGGAGAAAACACCCAACAAGCAGCCTGAGCTTACCCGAGATCTCATCCGTGTCCTTTTTCATGCCTTCCTCAGTGGCCATGGTGACGGCAGCCGTCAGAGCCGAGTTCCACTCGATCCCCTCCTCCATGCTCTCCTCTGACAGCGCGATCTGGGTGATGCTCCCTGCCAGAGAGGCAACGTCAGCTCTCCCTGCAGCACCCGGAGCACCAGCCCTGAATCCCTGCTTCGCTTTCCACCCCGCTCACCCCTCCCAGGCTCTTCTTCACTCTCGTGGTCAGGTTGTTTGTGCCTGGCTTCTTTCAAGCAAATTGGATGAAAGCAAATATTGCTGCTTCTCATTGGAACTGTGATTGTGAAAGGCTCTGGGGCTTCTGGGGGGAAAACCACAAACCCTCCAGAAAGCAAACCGGAGTCCTGGCAGAAAGGAGCAGAAAGGGATCAGAATAAAGAAGGGAATAAATAAGCCTCAGGCCAGCCACCCTTCTCCCCCTGCATCATCAACAGGGAGCTCTGCACCCTAGAGATGCCCTTATCTCTCAGGAAGTGACAGGGTCAGGGTCCAAGCTGGTTTATAGAAGGGAATCGGATCTGACTCAATCCTAAGTTTCTGGATCAAATTTGGGACTAAGCCAACGTGCAGCCACTGTAAGGTTTTACCATGTGGCTGTGGTGCTTTCCAGGAGATTCTCCTTAGCCTGTGGACGACTCTGCCGTCTCACCGACCCAGGGCCTTCGAGAAATGTAACCTGCCCAGCTGAACGCTGCGGTACGGTTGGGAGTGGTCTTCTCCCTTAACCTCAGCAAAGAGATCACTTTCTGCTCTGAAGCACGGGATTCACTGAGAATTTGCAGTTGGAATGACGATGAAATCATGTTCAGCCATCACACCCCGTTCATGGATGGCCAGGTGATGTGGAGCAGGCTGCTCCGGAGGAGGTCAGCATGCCTGGATTCATTCCTGAGGATCAGCCCACCTCATGCCTTTGTAATCGGCCCTCAAACAGGAAAGACATCAGGAAATGCTGTACGAGCTCTTTCAGGTGTTTGCCCCCATGGTGACCGCAGAACAGGGTTCCCTTCAAGGTCAGCCCCCTCCAGCTCCCAAGGCTGCCTCTAGTCACTGCTTAATCCGGCTGCTGTCCAGCCCTCCCATTACCGCAGAGCAGAGCTCCCTGACAGATGCTGCCTCTCTGAGCGGACACGAGAAGCATTTTCCTTCCCAGAAGGCAGAGCAGTCTCCTGAACGGTGGGACCACCCTGCTACGCCTGGGGAGAAGGTATAAAGTGTGTGTGTGTGGGGTCAACCTGAATTGATTAGCCCAGGGAGGGAGAGGAGTGTCAGAGGGAAACTCCCGTGGCATTGCTAACTGGTTTCCTACCGTCAGCTGATGTAGGAGTCTGCACCACACTCTGCTGCCCCGGCACCGGTGCTCTGGCGCTGCTGATCAGGAGATCAAACTTGGTGCTTCGACAGGTGTTGGTGCAAACTTTGTCGTGCTGGTAGAAGTCGATTTGCCCCGAGTCCATCATCTTCCTGTGCAGGGAGTGGGGAGAGAACCAGGCTCAGCTCAAACCTCAGCCTGGAGACAGAAGGGAGTATTCCACGTAGGAATGCTACGGCCATGGGAAGGATGGAGAAAGGGAGACCCAGCGCCACTCTGCACACAGAACATCTCCTGCAGGGTTTCCAAATGGCAAACAGAAGCCATTCCCCAGCTTCACATACAGGGCTCCAGTCCTGCTCCACCCCCACCAAGTACCAGATCCCCCAGGCGAGGCCACTTCTGCCCAGGATGAGGAATCCTGCCCAGACCACGGGGCCAGGATCTCTGCCCCAGAGGTGCTGCAGGTTGCTGGCCAGGTAACGTGAGCCTCCAGGAGATCTCCTGGGGACTGCAAAGCAGACAAAACGCCTGCTCGGGATCCTGCAGCTGCAGTGATGAAGCCCTGAAGCTGGACACACTGGCAGGCAAGTCAAATACCTCAGCATGATTCCTCCGAGGCGAATGGCTCTCTTCCAGTCCTTTAGGGTAGACTTCCCAGCCAGGTGAACAAAATGCTTCGGACTGATCAGTTGGTCATTGAACTGACAACGAGATAAAGAAAGGCTCAGCAAACACAGGGTAACGTGGCTTTGGAAGACTGCATTGGGACATCCAACACAGCCAGCCCACAGCTCATATAAGCCCACGCTTCTACCCAGAAAGAGGAGCTGCTTCTCAAATTCCTACCAACTTTGATCCCCTCGGCACAGCAATGCTTATAACTCCAGAACAGATGCATTTGCAGGGATGACCTGCCAGCCATCGGCACTCGAACCACACAGCTCTAGCCAAGCCCTGAAGGCTTTTGTACGAAGCATGAACCAAATTAGCTCCTTCTGTGAACTTGGAGATCATTATGGGAGACTCCTATTACATGAAATAGCTGAGGAACATCTAGCTGATGCAGGTATTCACTCGGGCATCTGTTCCATCCTGCTCCAGTGACTAAGGTCCCGCTGAGGGTCAGCAGCAGAGCACTCTTGCTGCAGCAGCACACGGGGACTCAGCCTCAGCGCATCAGCTCTTACATTAGCACACTCTCAAGTAGAAAAAGGTAACAGCAAGATTTCTCTTCTCGATGCAACCTGCTCACCGAGGAGCTGACAGGAGTGGAGTATCAGGACACCAAGGGAAACAGACAAGGAAGAAAAGCTCTGGCAGATCTCAGTACGCATCCCCTGCTTGCCTTCAGCCCCAAGTCCCTCATCAAGGGCCAAATATGACTCTGCTTTAAACAGCAGTCAAGAGCAGCACTGAAATATCAGGTGGGTGATAGGCCTTCACTCCTTAACCCACTCCTCCCCTGCTTCTCCCCATGCTAGAAACAATCTTAGTGCTAACAATCCAGCACGCTGCAAAGGCAAAGTCCCTCGGCTGCAGGACAAGGCTCAGATGAAACACAAAAAATAAGAAAGTCCTGTGGAGGTCGAGTACCAGCCCTTGAGAGCAGAGAAGGAATCCGCTGCGATAACTCCCTTACCTTTACGCACTTGACATTAATTCCCGGACAGACGAACTTCTTCCAGAGCAGGATGGCTTTGCTCTCCCCGCAGGTGATGGGATAAGCGATCTCGATTTCCTCGTTCGTTTCAATGGTGCTGGGGTCTGAGGGAGGAATGGGTAAAAATGAACCTTTCCACCCACGAGGCTCAAATTCCACAAGGCGGGAGCTGAAAGCTCACAGGCTGTGAGACGTACACTCAGGAAACCAAAAGAAGGGCCGACCCTAGTTCAGGATCAGTCCTCTCTTAGTCTTCTCCAATTACTAGCTCTAAGAGCAATTGGCATGTGCTTTTTAATATAGCAACACTCAAAATGAAGCTCATCTATCAGGAGAACGTGAGATCAGAAATCCAACACATCTGTAAGGGAGGGTGTCAATGAGAACAATCTTTGTGGAAACAAAATGCTTTAAAATTTGAAGCACAGATATGTCAGATTTCTTGGAGCTCTGGTATCTCTCTAGCAGCGATATCAGATATTTACTGGTAAGATATTCTCTTCACACACAGAGTTTCTGCTAATACTGCTGAAAGACCCACACCCACACAGGAAGCAGAACACTAGCCAAGATCCAGTGACAGCACCTAATGACAGGAGCCTTTCCCCACCTACTCCTCAGGATGGCAGGGAGCACTCAGAGCCAACCTGCTCCGTTCTTCCGACCATCCAACCCAAACCGCTTCAGCAAAGAACCAGCGATCAGAGACTGATGCCTCCACCAGCGCAGACACAACCGCCATCGTCATAACCATCATTCCTGCCTGCTAGCGTCGCACACCAAGACTAGGGTGAAATCTCGGCTCCCCTGGACCCCGTGGGAGCCCTTACCATTCATTGCAGGAGAGCCAGGATCTCAGTTCCAGGACTTTGAGACCAAGCAGTAACAGCAGACTCTTATTCCCGAGTATGCCCAGACCCTGCACCCACATCCATGCCTGGGAAACAGCATCTGCAGGGGCAGAGCCAGAAGGAAGCCCAGCGAACTGGAGGCACCAGCTCAGCGGCAACCAGCCCTGCAGAGGAGGGGATTCTGCCCACGCCAAGCGGGAACTCACCGATCCCTTCTTCTAGCTTGTGGATGGTGTGGGTTTCGCCGGCCACTACGGCGGCGCTGGCCTCGGAGCCCTCTTGGTAAATCCTGTTGTGAAAGCGGCCATCCATAAACAAACTATATAAATCATGGGAAATTAAGATTCACAGCACAGGGTTAAAAATTCGCTTTGTTTCTTTCTTGCCTGCCCTGGAAGGATGTGGATTTCGTTTGATACAGTTTCAATCACAGGCATTTTTTTGGCACATACAAAATACGCTAATAATCCCAAGGACTGAAACATGCAGAGGCGTTCCCAGTCCTGTCATCGCACCCTCCATGTTGCCAGCACCACTGAAGCAGCTCTGCAGTGCGCTTCCCTGTGCCTTCTCCTCTGGTTTCTGCTAAAGGCAGTTAACCACGACAACAGCAAGCAGAGCTCAATGCCCCAGGATTTCCCTTCCAGCCCTGTGTGACACTGCAGCATGGGTGATCACGCAGGGAAGAGTCACTGTCAGGCCCACAGCCACCCTGCTCTGCGAATATTATCAAACTGGAGCCAGTATATTCACATCCTGATTGATCGAGAGTTAAGATGAAGTGCCTGGTGGCAGCCGCTTCTCCGCAGCAGCTGCCATGGGTACCACAAAATTCCCTCCAACATCCCAGCTTCATTGTATTTTAGAGGAGGATTATTTTAGGGGAAAGCTGGCACAGACGCATATGCGGATCTGGACACACGGGCACAGACCACCATGTGCAGCAGCTGCAGTGTTGCAAAAACCCACCCTGGGGCGGGAGAGGGAAGAGGGAGACCGGGAGGACGCGCGGCTGGGGCAGCAGCGTGACCACCTCGCCGCTCCCCCGCTGCCACAGCCAGCCCCAGGCTGCCGCGATCCACCGAGACAGCATCGCGCGGACGCCTCTCCGCAGGACAATTTCAGTCCTCGGAGGCCCCGTGACAGCGACACAGACAAAAGCTTTTTTGCGTTGTATTTTTCTCTCTACCATGCGTGGCACAAAACCGACGCAGACCTGGAAAACGCAGCGATACTCGGTCCCCACACCACGAAAATCTACAGGGACGTCCCCCATCCCACCCCGCATCTCCCAGACACACCAGTGCCATCCAACTCACCCTTGCTGCACCGGCTGGAGCTGCAAGATCACTTGGGTTTTGGTATCCTCCGGGTTCTCCCCTTCGTTTCCGTCACTTGGTACAACCACCACATCACCCACAGGGACGCTCACTTCGGCATTCGCCATCTCTCACATGAAGCCCGGTGGCGGCGGGGTGCCGTGGTGCTGCAGAGGGCAAAGCAGAGGCAGGTCTGTACCGCGGCAGCACCGCTGCCTGTGCAGGCAGAGGGGCAGGCAGCGGTGTGTAAGCATGATCGCCCAGTCCCACCGCAGCAAAGGCCGGGCCAGCGGGGCCGGCAGAGCAAAGCTCCAGCTCCAAAGAGGGGACCAGGCGTTTTAAATTCACCACCAGAGAGAGATGGCAAGTGCCTGTCAACACGCAGGAGGATTTCTCCTCCCCTCTCAATCACGATAGCCAGGAACATCTCATCCAACGATACAAAACCGACAGAGGCAGATCCCCCCAGTGCCATCCCACTCATAACTTCCCGAGCAGCGGCCTTCCCCGGATCCAGCCGAGCCAAGCCCCCCGGTGGGTTTTGGCGAGAGCGTGAGAAGGTTTCTGAGATGGAGCTTCTCCCCTTGGCCGGCAGCGCTTCCAGCCGCCCTCGGGATGCTCCGATCCCTCGCTACCGGGACCGTGCCCGGTGCTGACCCTTCCCACCGCACAGGGGCTGGGGAGAGGCGGCCGGAGACCCGGGCCGTCCCTGCTGCTGTGGAGGCACAGGGCTGGTTTCGTTGCCGCCGTGGGTCGGGATCACCCCGCCGGGCTCAGAAGCTTCTGGGAAAGCGCTTGTGTCAGGAGGGGGCCCCGCGGCCGGCGATGGCGGGCCCGCTGGCCCACGGCGGGGACGCGGTCCCCAGCCCAGGCACCCCCGCGG